GCAGGATTAGAAATATGAAGACGAGCAAAAGATGCGAGGTGAGCCGGTTCTCCGGTGAAAAAAGCTATCAGCGAACTCTTCAGGCGTTTTAACCAAGTGCGGATCGCCGTGCAACTCCATGCGTTTTGTCTTTTTCATCGCGAAACAACAAAAGCTATAATTTCATTATCATGAAATATTTAGCATTTTCTATCGAAAAAACATCTCAAGCCACTAAGCTTCCGAAAATTTCTCAAAAAAAATTGAATACACAAATTTTCTTCCTGTGACTGCATGATGCACATGGTGCACCACGCAGTGCGCATTTGGGGCGCAATGTGCCTCGGGGGGGGGGGGGCAGTCGCCGCGCGCGCTCGTGCGGCAACAGGATTCAGGGGGGTTGGGGGTGAGGGCAGTCACATGACATGCGTGAGAAGCTGGAATGTTCGAATTTCCTGTTGCCGCACAGCCGCGCGCGGTGACTGCCCCCCCCCCCGAGGCACATGGCGCCCGCATTTGGTTTACACTGTTTCATGCAGCCAGAAATCCACGTGGCACACGTGGCTAAATTCTCGATGAAAAGGTGACATCACGTGTGCTCAAAGATGTTCTTGAATCGATGCCACGTTAATGCCACGTCAATTTCTGCAATTGCACAATTTCTGGTTATTTGAAGGCGAGGGTATGTAACTCTGTTTCATGCAGCCAGAAATCCACGTGGCACACGTGGCTAAATTCTCGATGAAAAGGTGACATCACGTGTGCTCAAAGATGTTCTTGAATCGATGCCACGTCAATTTCTGCAATTGCACAATTTCTGGTCATTTGAAGGCGAGGTTGAAATGACAAATCGGAAAGAAGACAGTAAGAGCCCCAGAACGCGAACTAGGCAGTAGATAAAAATCATCTCACAAATTCTGACGGTTGAAGAAGAAACTTGAGAATTTCAATTAAGCGCATAGAACTCAAATTACTGCACCTTGCTAATGAATAGATTAAAGCTGTAACGAAGACAGCAGCTTGCAGTTGAGGCGAAAAACTTTTGCCTCCAGCCTAACCCTTACTGCGAATTACCCCTTTCAGTGAATTACCCTTTGATGGTGAAATTTGGGGACCGTCGTTCAGAAGGTCCCTGCACTTTTAAAGGCAAAAGTCGGGCTCAATAAGGGGGTATTATGGCGATTGAAACTGAGTATAGAGATGCGAAGTGGAACGACAGTGGAGAAAAAACTGAGAAAAACCGTCGACAAGGCCGTTAACAAAACCCTCTTTCCCACTAGCAGTGAAGGAGGCTGGCTTGGGAAGAGGCACGTACAAACAAGTTTTCTGGAGATGTCAGTCGTTCTATCGGTTGATACGGCAATCAACCTAGCTGATTTCACACGTTATGCCAGCCACGCACCACATCCCGAGGTGGGCGGTCGTAGCGGGGCCAGGCGGCGATAGCGCATAGTACATGCCCTGGGGCCTTATTACCGCGCCGTTTCGAGAACATCTCTACGGGTGCGTAACCAAGTACAGACATGACCGAAAGGGTTGGTTAGGTCAACTAATCCCGACCTTTGCCTTTAAGACTGAATTTCGAATGCATGTCTCGATTCTAGCAAAACAATTACACTAAATGTAAACCGTCATAATCCATAACTTTTTGACAAAAAAGGCACTATTTACACAGTCCGCTTGCTAAGAATGCTGGAGCTGTGTAAGAGCTGGGGAAGGCCGTTTCGCGTAATGTTGAATTTGGAGGCAGTTCTTTTGAAAGCAACAACCCCAGATGGAAATGGCGAGCTAACAGCGGTTGAACGATAGTAGAAAGGACGTGTCTAAACAGGGGCTGTATTCAATCCTTCCCCCAGGGGGATATATCCCCCTACTCTGATTCAATCCTCTGGGGGGACAAAAAAGGGTTGCGTCATAGGACCTAGCATACCTCTGTGCCAGACAGTTAGAGCAGCGCGACCCCTCAGGGGAAAGAGTGCTTCATCAGTGGAGGGTAGTAGCGCTGCTCTAACTGTCTGGCAGGTAGAAACACAGAGGTATGCTAGGTCCTATGACGCAACCCTTTTTTGTCCCCCCAGAGGATTGAATCAGAGAGGGGGATATATCCCCCTGGGGAAGGATTGAATACCGCCCCTGATGAAGCACTCTTTTCCCTGAGGGGTCGCGCTGCTCTAACTGTCTGGCAGGTAGAAACACAGAGGTATGCTAGGTCCTATGACGCAACCCTTTTTTGTCCCCCCAGAGGATTGAATCAGAGTAGGGGGATATATCCCCCTGGGGGAAGGATTGAATACCGCCCCGGTTTTTTCAACGCAAGCGCATCAATCGGTAAGGCTACCATATATCTTCCTATCGGCTATCTTATTCGCGACGTCATAGCCACGTTGCGTGAGGGCGAACGCGAGGTATCTCGTCCGTAAGTTCACATTAGTTGCCATCAGATCACTTTGTAAAGCCTTGCGCCATTGTTGACAATTTTCGAGGTGCGACAGTGGCACGTCTCACCCAGTGGACAGATTTCTCAACACGACTGCTTGGGTTGTTGCTTCAAGGTAGCTTCTAAGTTGGCTTGAAAAGTGCTGGTCCGCACAATAAATCATTCTATTCCTTCTGTTTCTCCACATCGCAACTGCGACTGTGACTGGGGCTGCCCGATGATCAGCTGGACTTCCCAAATCCTAGCCTGGCCCTGTCGGATCACTGGTTCTTCGGCCACTTCCAGCGCATACTGAATGAAAAAAACGAGACTTAGGATGAATTCAGGTAGGTACTCCACTGCTACTTGACCTCCCAGTTTCCTTCCTCAAAGGACAACAGGATCGAAAAGTTGTCAAAGCGGTAGACGGGATCAGTACATATTTACTACCCAGTCCTAAAAGTCCGAAAGAGAAAAGGTAATCTGCTTGGAAAAAAAGACGAAAAAGAGAACCTTACATTAGTTTTGCAGCTCTAGCTATTTTACAGCCGAGAAGAAGGTGTTCAACGACGACTACCCTCTTTGGTGAAGGCACAATTGAAATCACGCCAGAGGATTACAAAAAAAAACAGCAGCAACAATAAAGTACCCTTGACACAAACACGAATCGCATTCACACACTGTACTCAAAGATTCTTTACATTTTAATATTTATTTAAGTCTCGAACACAAACGTGTTATGGCGTCACCATTCAGGGCAAAAGTAAGTATAAATGTACGCGGAAATCAATAAATAGCTTTGGAAAGAAAGAAAAACTGTAGAGAATGTGGTACCCGTTCCATCGCGCATTTGTTGGACCATCACTGTTGAATGAACGGGTATTTGGTCGATTATATTCTAACACAGCAGTTGCAAAAGTCCAGACCTACAGCAGTGACAGAGTGAGAAAAAGATAGTTGTTCCTCAGGATTACGCAGCTAAGAATTCATAAAATATCTATAATTCGTTATCATGCATGGGATAAACCGTCGTTAGAAGCATTATTATACATAAATTCACCTATAAAGAAAACAGCAGTTCAGACTAGGACGCTATTTACTAGTCCTTGGCATGAGTAACGCCAAAATACTGGTAAATAACGCCCTGAAGCAATGTGGCCCACTGCAACAGGCCAAGTAAGTCAACATATGATGCTAATATAAGAAAATCTCTGACGTAAGTAGAACAACACATTGTGAAAATATAACATAACAAGATACAATCGTGAGCGAATTCGGAACCAGCTCAAACAAATAAAAGCTGTATAAATATTAAAAACTGTCAAATATGCGATTCATGTTACTGATATAGACAGTCGGCCCAGAATGCGGGCAGACGCGAAGCGGCGTAGAGCCAGATCAACACATAGCGACATACTAGCTACGACTGATCTGAACATTTACGTGGCTTCACCATGAGCCAACTGAGTTGTCTATGGATTCGTCGAAAACGACTTTACTTGAGAATGAGAATTCGAAATGAATAAACAGTGATAGAACAGCAGATTCTTAGAGTTTGTGAAAAAAAACTGGGAAGCCATCTTGTCACCTTGGAGCAACGTGGGCTGATATTACAAAGGAAAATGCTATTTACGAAAGCACCATGGGCGCCCTTCTTTCTGTGTGTATTCGTTCTGCAGAGTAACTTCGCTTGAAGTTGTGCAACTTGTCCTCACATACCCGGCTTGCAGCCTAAAAATTTAATTCGAAGAATAGAGTTATCAAACACGTACGCAAAATATAAAACATCCTTTCAGCGCGCGGTCGCAATGCGCAGATGTTCGGCTCAGTCGCACGAAAAAATAGTCCTCTGTTTAAAACAAACCCAGAACTCAGAAAAGATACTGCGGAAGCTTTTGCCCCACCAAATCATGTCAATTGCTTCTCAGAGTTTGTGATTCCAGAACAACCGCCTCGCGTACAAGCATTCACAGCATTTCCTAACTAATTGCAATGCAAAAAGAACCGCACATAACAAGGTGATCTCAAATTATTGTATTTTACAAGAGTGAAGGAAGCCAGATATCGGCTTCATTCAAAATACTTCCACAGATTGTCTAGCCACTTTATCAGCATGTCAGAAGATGTCTTAACCCACCTCTAGACGTTTGGCACGTTCCCTATATAATGGCTGAAGCGGCAGTTGCAAGTCATTTGCCAGCGCAAGTGTCCGAAGATCGAAATAGTATTTGGCGTAGACGGATGACGGCACTTCTATATTGAAGTCAAGGCACTCTAGGAAGCGTCGCTCCAATTCGTTCCTATAATAAACATCTTACGCAAATGAATCCGGCCATTAAACCAAGACACGCGACTCACATGTCGTCCACATTAGTGTCTCGCAAGATCTGACAGTAATCCACGTTCCACACAGCCTGATCATCCCATACCTGGGAAAGGAAGATTCATAGAAATAGATAGCTTAGGAGCTTTATGCGGATGTCTGGATGAAGAAACAGGATCTCCAGGAGAGATATACGTGCAGAATTAAAGCCTCTCTTTTCCCCAACTCGGCATGCTGGTTGTAAGTGTATTTCGATGTTTTTTGTGCCGTACAAGGCTGTTTGATAGAACGTCAACTTAAATGGAGCTAACGATCGACTGAATCGTCGTCTTCAGAGGCCAACAGGTCAAGCCTTAGATTCACTCTATGTCACACCGAAGCGCCTTGCCAACTCTAACGTTCCGTTATTAGGAACCCCTTGAGAAAACCTATCAACGTAGAAAATAAAATTGCCGACGGTTGCACCGTTAGAGCAGATTTGTTGTGTAGCAGCAAACTAACCGCTCCACTAATGGAGCCGACTGCGAGTTTATTTTACACATTAACGGAGTCTTCTCGAGGGGTTTCCGACACGATATCTGAACCGCTAGAGTTGACAAGGCGCTTGTTAGGATATAGCGTGAATTTGAAGTCTGAAACATGATCAGGCCTCTCACGAAATTCAGTCGAAACATTAGGCCGTTTGAATAAATGTTCCACCACAACCTCGTAGAAAAAATCGAATTACAATAATTTTAGGACTATGTGCGCTTAAATTTCCCATTTAATGCTTTAGTCATCTAAGCTAATTTTTGATTGATCCGAACAAAGTTGTGGAGCTCATGGTGAACAAATACAAACAAATTGAAAGGGCAAGACTGCAGTTCAATTCACACAATGGGCAACGGATTTATAGTGAAAATAGAGAACACAGTTGTGAGGGATTTATCATACCTTTGAGGCTAGCATTATCGCACCTAACACCACTCTTCGCCAATTCGATGGACACAGATCCATTTCTGCATAGTTCAAAAGTCGTTCTATGTATACCTGAAAATAGCAATCATCTATGCGTTCCTCTGATTGAAAGGGATGAACAAAGCCTCTACAGCGATGGAGTGCACATAGCCGTATGACTAGACTGTAGCTATAACTATAAGGAATAGCTTCTGAGTCAAAACATTGAGAAAGAACTTAACGAGGATCAAGCATAAAGTGGTACAGTTGATGATCCTGACACAATTCTATTGAGCGCAAAGTTGGCAAAGATGTGACGAAAAGACGCTTCAGTCCAGCAGCAATATTGCATCGTAATACCAGTCACAGAATTTTTCCCTTCAAAATTCGTTATAGGTGACGACTTCTCCCCCAATACTTGTGACCTCTTTGACAATTTGCTATCCTACCCATGACCCTGATCTCAGTGAGAGTGACGTCAAAGAATATGGTGCCTCAGATGTAGGGGAAGATAAGCCCAAACTCTCAGTGAACACACGCGAGTCTTCTTTGCCAAAAAGATTCGGACGGCACCTTCTCTCCGTCAGTTTGCTTTTGGAAAGCCCAAGGATATCATAGAGAACAATGATTTCTGAAGATGGAGATGATTGCCCTACAAAGGTCCATGAGCAGGAGAGAAAACATTCGAAAAAAAGTCATGAAAAAAAGAAAACTAAGTATGAAGTTATGGGCAAAACCTTAGCCGTAGGAGCGACTCGTACCGCATCCTTTGCTGCCCGGGCAGTTGCGATACCACTACTACTATCGGGTCACCATTCCACCCTAGTAAGCTGACTGATACTTATCATGCTGAATCAAGCAACCCACACACTAACGCCATTTAGGTGTTATCTTCACAGCGGTACCATTTGAAGTGAAAGCTGTTTTTATAGCAGGAATTTTAGCTTCGACTTGTCTTGTCTGAGGGAGTTGGTGAAACATACACCTTAGCCAAACAAATATGGTAAAAAACCAAATGTGGTAAATATGACCTTACTCTGTGAATTTGCAGCTTCCAATTACTTTAAATACTCACAGTGTTATGATGCACATGGTCAGCGGCGTCTGAACATGCTGTGCCGAGTGAAAACAACGTGCGAACGAATCGGATATATTGACGATGCGTCCGGAATCTTTTGTCTATGCAGCTTCCTGGTCGGTATATGCATCACGCTGTAAAAAGATTAACATAGAAAAATGGTTGAATTATGAATACCAAAGAGCGCTGCCAAAACATTTAAATGGTACATTTCAAATTCAAAAGTTGCAGTCGCCAAATAGATGTGATTTGAATGACTTTTTCTAGCAAATGGCTTAATATCTACCCATGGAGCACTACAGTCGTTAACACATTATTAACCGCACTAATAAATCGGGAGGGCGGAAGTGGTGTAGTGGCAAGTGGCACGCTTACCACGCGAGCGGTCCGGGGATCAAATCCTGGGTCGTGAGTCGCCCGGGCCAACCAAGCCTTCCATCCCTCCGGGGTCGGTTAATTGGTACCAGACTTGTCTGGGAGGATAAAAACACTGACTTGTACATCGGCTGGCCCCCGCAAGTCATTGTATAGGCCACATCGCATTCAAACGCCACTACGAATGTACAAATGGAAGTAGAATGCGTGCCGCATCCCAAAAAGGGATTGATCAACGGCAAATGCTTTATCCTTTTATTAATCGGGTATTCCAAGGGAGATACATGACAGTAAGTAAATTCAAGAGAATGATCACACCAAGGAACGCCACGCTACTGTGATGCCTTGGTTGGTGTGCGTCTTCTCTGTGGTTAATTTTGCTTACAGGCCTCCTTAACCTCGCCTAACCCCCTCCCATCCCTTCCAACCTCAAGATCTTCAAATTGTTGACAAAAAGAAGGGAGAACGCAATTATTATCTAGCAGGATCTTTTCCAAAGAAAACGAGCGAAGATTCGAGGTCAAGATAAGCGGCGCTACGCGTCTTTCGAACGCTGCCTAAACTACTCTGTGACTACTTCGAGCCCCTTGGCTAGCAAGAAAGTTCCTGGTTAAATAGCTCAAAACAGCAGACGTATTGAAAAGATATAGGTCAAATCTCAAGTTTTTCGCACAAAAGTGAGAAGCCGTGCCATGAAAACAAGCAAACACTTCTGAGCTAAGCTGAGAGCAGACTTGTTTTTGAGAAGGGCGACCTCATTTTTTAGCATGACATCTGGAACCGTAGTCCTAACAATGCATGAAGCCACAATGGTTCCGAAACGCTTGCGTACCCGGCTAAAGGGCAACTTACTTTGCGATTAACTAAACTTCTGTAATTGAGGAATCTATCTTTTCTCAATTTTGTTAAATATTCCATATTTATTATTATCAGTATTATTGTTAACAGTGGGCGATCTTGGCTATAATGTTTAAATGGACCTCACAAGATTCCTAAACTCGAAATTTATGACAACCACTTACATTTTTCACTACGGAATGCTGAAGTACATAAATCAGGCAAGAGCAACAGCATGTGTACGAAAATTTTGTAGAATGCAAATAAAAAAAAAAATTAAAAGGATAAAAGGATAAAGCATTCGCCGTTAATCAATCCTTTTGTTGAAGCGGCACTCGATGACAACTTTCATTGTACCCATCTCGTAGGTGGCGTTTGAATGAGATGTGGCCTATACAATGACTTGCGAGGACCAGCCGATGTACAAGTCAGTGTTTTTTATATCCTCCCAGACAAGTCTGGTACCAATTCCACCGAGCCCGGAAGGCTTGGTTGGTCCGGGCGACTTCACCACCCAGGATTTGATCCCCGACCGCTCGCGTGGTAAGCGCGCCACTTGTCACTACACCACTTCCCCCTGAAATAAAAAAAAATTATACAGTATACGAACCTTATACGCGTAATTGGATGAAGTCGCTCCTCGAATATTTCCATAAGCCGTTCGTGAGCACGATTCTTTCGATTCGCAATATGGTAATATATTGCTAGTGATATGCATTTGATGGTATTTTTCAAATTCGGTTGACTAATCGTTGAGTCATCTGAAAAAGGATGAATGAAGTAAAACTAATAAAAGGTACAGATAACTATATAAACATACCCATATAAATAGTGCGATGGCAATCTAACTAGTTGCGAGACTGTCTTGCAAAACCCGCGAAATCCACCACCGACGGCTCCATGCGTCTTAGGCCATATAACATACCCGGACGATTTGTCCGTTCACTTACATAAAAAATGTATTAAAAAATCGTTCCCCTATGTAAACATATAAACTTGACGTTCATATTTATAAACGGGCCCAACTATTCATAACGCTGTCCTGAAAATAGTCCATGATTCACTTTCCACAGTGATAATTGCATGATCGGACCAGTTAAATGAACAGGTCTCGGCTACGCCCTACACAGCAATACGACACTAGAATACATTAGCCACTGGAATCAACTTCAACCGTAGCGGCTCTTCCATACCAATCTCATCTCACTTTTTCTCAGCATTTAACTTCTTCTGTGGCCGGCACTTACATTTCATTTCACTCTTACTACGCTCCATGAATGTCGGTCGAGCCGTTGGATGAGTGGATGGATCCTCTTCTCCCACTGAAAAGGCTTCGAATGAAATACCGTCAAATAATAATACACAACCTGAACACTATCAGTATGCCAGGGCTCAGGACCAGACAGTGAGGACAGAGAAAATAACTTTTTAAAGAAGAGAATTTCGGAAGCCTACAATGTAACTTAATACAAACTCGTTCGGCTTCAGAAACGGGAAAAAATAAGTTATGCAAAATCGAAGGTGTTATGTAGGCGCGTTAAAGTTTGTGCGAAATAAACCTAATGGTAGTAGTCGTAACAGTGCCTGCAAAGAACACCAGAAGTTTTGCAAACCGAGTAATCCAAAACCGCTTTGAAGTCGCTACATAAGTTCGAGGGTGAATGAGCACCTTGCAGCGAGGATGAAGACATATGCACAAACGATCGTTGGATTATATCACGGGAAGATCCAGCGATTGCTCTAGTTCCGCTCCACCCCATTATCATTGTTTTACGCTATGATTACTATAATATCGCAAGTTCCTCACAGCCCTCTTGTTTGATCTCCTGAACTTTCTCCTTGTTCAATGGAAAAGTGAGAGGATGTCTACACATTCCCAGGTGGGTTATTAAGCAGAACAAACTGCGAAGGCTAACATCTTTGGAGAGTTTTTTTCAACCATATAACAATAGTAATCAATAATTCTACCATCCCATCGTTTAAACTCCAACTAGAAAATAATGCCACAAGTGGCAGAATAGGGGTCCTGCTAGAGCCATTTGTGATGAAAGTCACCAACTATGTTGAGTTTCGGCCCAACAGCTTAGATCAGCGAATTCTGAGGCAATGATATTTACCCATATAATTCCCATCAAGCTATGAAACTGCCCGGGCGGATCTATTGCAATCCTAATACTGTTCGAAAATGACAAGGAAACATTGCAACCATCAACATTCGCTTCAAAGGGAACGAATTATTCGACAAAAAATGTCAACTCAAAAGTGAATACACAAAGATGACTCATAATACAATCACATAAAAGCGCATCGCTTAAACTCACCCTCAGGGATTTCACGTTCACTGATATGAGGTAGGAAATTTGTGGATGTTTCATCCCGTGGAAATGACTGGTTGACGTATTGGAACTGAAATGTTGTAATCATGCAATTCTTCAACAAGCGATCGCAAAATTTTGTTTCTCTATAAAACTTTGTCTATAGAGGTAATTCAGTGCGCTGATAACGATTATGACTCATTTTTGGCGCAAGCGCCGTCTGAGTAATTTTGCGCCAACAGATGACCTGCTTCTACCAGATACGCTGTGAACATGTGTATAGGATGTGCACGCTGGAGATACGAAGTTGTTAAGTGCCCTGATCACGAATATGACATTCATTTGTGGAGTTAGTGTCGAACCGCATAGTACATTTTGGCGGAATTGGGCACAATACTGACGCCGGAAATGGATGCCAAATATGTGGTTAGCGCACTGAAACTTCCTATAAACTAGGTTCTTCCAAAAATTAACCGGCGCGCTGTGCCTTCAGGGGGGGGGGGAGGTTTGATTTGATTGGTTGGTCTGTTGGAAGGCCACTAGGACTACGTCCTACGGAGAAGGACGAAAATCTTTGAGAACTAGGATTGCACCTCTGAGTCCCCCTCCTTCTCTGGGGCATAGTCTTAAAACTAAACTTTTAAGTGAATTCGACGCAGTGCTACGGGAGCCATACCCGCCAATTGATCTTTTGCGCAGGGGGTGTGCAGTTGAATAGTACCAAAAAGTACCTGGGTGTGGTTCACTAGGACAGGAGCGACTTTTTCGCTTTTCGCACGCGAAACATTTTTCGCTGCAGGAACCTCAGGTCCACCGCTGATCATGAGTGGACCTGGAGTTCCTACAGCGAAAAATGTTTCGCGCTGCGAACGCGAAAAAGTCGCTTTCTGTCTTAGTGAACCACACCTAAAGAAATGAATCTATGAATTCACCTCAACTTGATTATTCCTTGTATATTGTCCTTCGTATGCATAAGTTTTCTCGTCTCTGGGTACGGATCCACTGTTTCGAAGACAACAAGTTGAGTTACCCATAGCCTATAAACAGCCAAGTTCAAACTCATACAAAATCACCAACGACAAGCATCAACGACATGTACGAATAAAACATAATGGAAAATCTGATGTCTGTGATAAACAGAAGCTCGTAGGGCTCTCGAAGTAGTGTTGCTAAATGAAGACTGTAAAGAGAGGGAAAATATTATAAAGCAGCAAACAATCGCTATTTGCTTCCACCTGCAGAGCTCGAATGTGGACGTGATAAAGGACAACAATGGATTCTCTCACCTTCTGTGCCGTTCCTATTCAGGCTTAGCCTGAAATTTATGGTTCAAGAAGTGCACAATCAGTATCAGCATGGATATACTATATTTGTGTGGACAAAGCAAAAATCGAAGCAAAAAAGCCAGGCCGAACCAAGCTGTGACACTGTCACGATTTGCATGCAGTATGTGCGCATAAGTGAAATTTCAGTAACAATTGAAAAACCAAGAAAAATAGCACGGTCAAGGAAACGATCTCATTCAACAGAAAAAGAAAACTGGCCCATATGTATCTT